TTTTAATTGTTTTTTCTGTTGAAAATATTTTTTAGTGTTATTTTTAATTTGGTTTATTTCAAAATAAACGTTCTTAATTTGTTGCTAAAAATTACTAAGAATGAATTTATTAAGAAAAATGTTACGTTTTAAGTACTCTTTTTTAAATCAACTGTTGATTTCAGAAATGTAAAAAAAATTATTAGATTAATGGCGTACTTTTTATTGTCTAAAAAGATCAAACTAGATGGCATATGGAAAATACCAAGATACATTTTACGAAAAAACTTCTGGTGAACTGTTTTTTCTGAAACTGTTGAGTTTTTTATATAAGTTTATTAAGAAAATTACTATATTCTATTTTAACGTTTTCTATTTATTCTCAAATTATTAAAGGTCCCTTTGCACCACCCTGTATATTCAGATTTATAATATTAATTTAATTAATCAATAAAAATAATTCAAAAAGTTGATAATAATTAATTTCATTATATTTTTCTTATAGGTAAGTTATCTACAAACATTTTGACCCAGACACTATCAAAATTAAGCTCCTCAGAAAGTCTGGAAATTGAGGATCAAAAGCGAATGAAGGTATTATCAAAACACACTGACGTTTAAAAAGTTTTGTTTTGATTTGAGGGAATCCTTTATCGGCCATGACCTCATCGCCGGGCTCGACTGAATTAATGAAACCAGAATCATTAACAATAAAACCATCTGTAGACCTGCCACCATAACCTTTTGATATAAATGTTATCATTCCTGATGGACTTATTCCTATAAGATATTTTACTGTAAAAGAAGACTTGTAGGAAGAATACATCAATGCTCCACAGTTGGTGGAGTATCAACGCGAATTTCGGTGCAATCAATGATTACTCGACAATTTGGATATTTCTTAAAAGAAGGTGGCATAATTGCTTTAATTGCTTCTCTAGTAGGCCAAAATACTCATGTTTTTATACTCTCAAATAATGTTTCCAAAACATCGTCAAAAATTTTGGAGGCAGTTTTCCCAGAAAAAAATTCCAGTTGGTGCAAAAGTTAAGCAGAGTTTCATTTTCATAGTTTTGCTTTAAGTTAAGTTTTACTTATTATGTTGTTATCTTTTTCTGTTGACATTCATATTACGTTTATGTAGTCTTAAGTTTTGTTCACACATGTATATACAAAATATATTTTTATACGGCATTATTATATAATAAACCAAGTATAAACAAATTTTTCCTTAATATAATCCTTAATTTTTGACAAAATAAAAAAAATCAACACAAAAAGTGCCAAAGTCCTAAATTAATATATTTTTTGGATATAACAAAACTTTTTTTTCTTTTTTAATCATGAGAGTCCAATCCACTTTCTACAAGAAATACAATACAACCCACATTTTGATCATAATATTTTGTGCAATATTTCATAATCAAAAATAAACCTTAAAACCGCAATATCTCAAAATCACCTATTTCAAATAGGCTATTTGTGACTAAGGCACTTTTTGCATTGATCCCTTCAAATACAAAACACCCTGTTATTAAAGTATTTTTAAATTAAATATGTATAAACCATGGTCAAACCATATGTATAAACCATGGTCAAAATTATCCCAATTTTTGGTAATCATTCCCAAAACAGTCCTCTCCGTGTAGCCAAAGTTCTTTGAGGTAATAATTTAATGTAATGGTTGATTTTGTTTTCCACTTAACATTTTTTTATATTAGATACTAGATTATGAACACAAATAATAAAAATATTTTCCAGACGATTTTTACAAAAACATCCATATTCCAAATTGGTATTTACATACACTTTTTAAATTTTAAATTAATATTTTAATTAGCTAGATAATGTATGTGATATCCAAAATAGATATTTTTATGACAAATCATTAAGTTCAAACAGAACAAGTCTATTTTTATAAGTTTTTAAGATATGGTATATGATATTTTTAAATAAAAAATAATTAACAAGCCATTTTTGGACTATGGCCGTTTTTGTAAGAAGCACCTCATTTCTATATTTAGTTCTCCCTTGATAAAAATAATTATTAAAAAAAATCAAAAAAATAAAAGACCACCCTAATATACAAAGTATTTAATAAAATATAAAATAAATTAAGGTAAAAAAAAGCCGGTCCAGTAATGTTTTAAATTTATTTTATAATTCTATAAAGTTTTTAATATCTGTACTAATAATAATAATTTATTATGCAGCTAAACACAATTAATTTAATTTGAAAAAATCAAATAGTTTATTAGGAAATAAATTATACACGGTATGATAAAAATAGAGACTAAACCTAAAATTGTTAATAGGTAGGTATATTTATTTTCAAAGAATATTTATATGTATACGTTAGATTTTTTATGGCTGGATATAGGTATATATAGCACCATATTAATGTAACAATAGAAAAATTATGAATTTTAGAACATTATAATTGGATTTATGGGTAAAACTTTAAATAGTATATATATAGCATTTTAACATGTACAATTTTTAAATTTAACATGTCATGGGGCCCCAAAAAATGGGATGCATAATATTAGCATATTAATATTTTTTTAATCGTTTGAGCAGTAAGGCAAGTTTGATGAAATTTAAGTGCATTGTTGGAAACTTTTTGATTTAAAAATATTTTGGAAACATTGTTAAGGTTAAAAATGTCCCTTCGATAATATCTGACACCTACTAAATTATTAAAGACATACATCAATGTGATTTGTACTATACACAATAATCATTGTTAAGGTTAAAAATGTCCCTTCGATAATATCTGAGACCTACTAAATTATTAAAGACATACATCGATGTGATTTGTACTATACACAATAATCATACCAAACCATTCTACTCCATCATCAATGGTATTTTTGTAAGGCTTTATCTCTTTTTTTAGGAGAGCAAGCATCCTTGCTCATTCTTCCAACAATGTTTCACCTGTTTTATAAAGTTTCTTCTATTTTTCTTTCTAAAATTTAAAATCTGTTACTTAATAATTTTAAACAAATAAAGTACCTAGATTTTTTCCAGCCATATATTTCTAGCATTTTTTTATGTTTAAATAAAGAATTTGTAATTGATGCCTGTTATTTATGACTTTATCACTATCACTTTATCCCTATCAAAAGCTTATTTAATTTGCTCCAAACTCTTTCCTTTTTTAAAACAACAGTTAAGTATAAGTATAAAAAGGTTTAAAGCATAGAAAGTATTGTCTTTTAAACATTTTAGGCTTAGGTTTAACATTTTTAGATTGGATAAATTAATAATTTTTAGAAAAACAAATGCTCAAAAACTTACAATTCTACAAGCTCCAACAACAATTGTCTGTCCCTTTCTGATGCTTCAGGTCCCCTTCTTTATTTATTATCCATCTTTATTATTAAACTTTACTTAAGACAACACTAAAATCAAACTGTCAAGCACATTATAACCTATAACAGCTGTTGTAACGGTTATTACGTCTGACTCATTCAAAAATAAAATCCATGACCGTAATTTAAACATTTGTTTACACTTTTTTTAAATTGGATATTGAGAAATTGTATGAAAGAACTAAAAACAAACATTTATATACTTGTACTGTACCTGAGCTTTTAGAAACCAATGCGGTTAGTTTTAAAATTCGATTTTCCAGCCTTTCTTTTCGACCACTGCCAGTGGGCTGTTTTTTTCGGTAGATCGCAGGAAAAATCACAGAACATAGGGAAAAATTGTGGAATTGTAAGATTCTGACCGCGGATCTTCCAATTTTTTACCTCCTTGAAAATAAAGACTACATACCCAAGCAGCATTTTTGGTTCCAAAAACCATTGCCAAAGTGGTGATAACTTTAAATTAGTTAAGTATACTAAACAGCTACTTTAATTTTTACTTAAAAGTAATTCTAACTTTTAAATAGCAATATTTTGTAACAGAAACTTAATTTTTCCTTAAATTGTTACTATAAAGTAATAAACATTTAAGTAAAACTTGGTTGCCCCCAAGAAGACTTTGCAACTTTAAAAAAGATGTTATAAGTAAAAAAAACTTTCAAGTAAATTTAATTTGTAGCAGTTACTTTCGGTTGCTACCTAAAAATTACATTATAATTATTTTTAGTTTGTAGTCCCTTTGCAAGTTAAAATCTCGAAACTGGAACATGAGTTAAAAACTACAAAGTTAATAACTTAAAAGTTATTATTTTAGTATTTGGAACGTTTATGGTACTAACCAAAACAACCGTAAAGTGGAAAAAAACTTTAAAGTAGCGAAAACTACTTCAAAGGAAAATGCTTCTTATCGGCCATTTTTTACTGTACAGTACCACGTGGTAATGTAAATAATAAATTATTTTAATTGTTTGTAAATGGTTGTTTACTTTTTAATAAATAGAAATATTGTTGGTAATAGACGGTATTAATAATTAAATAAAAAAAATAATAATAAATATTAAGATTTTTTTATTTATAAACATTACTAAATAAATAATTTGTTTATACTTAAATATTGATGAAGCGCATTTATTTTACAAAAACTAAATTCATAAGTTCAACAGTAAAATTTAAAGGGTTTATAAATCTACCTGTCTAATTAAACATTATATTGTTATTCTGGAAGTTATAAACTACCAGTACATATTTAATAAACGACGACATTGAAAAGCCAAGTCCGTAGTGGTTCCATTTAAAAAAGGAGGGATAGTATAATCTAATATAAGTTTGACAAAGACAGTTAATATAGAAGTAAAAACAAATAATAAAAGTAATTATAACGCTCTAGCAACGATATTGGAACGTTCTAGTAACGTAGCAGCTACGTCCCAAATAGTAGCAGGGTTGGTAGCTAGTGACATATTTGCTACCTTTTTGGAACTCAATAATTGTTCCCCACTTTAGTCGTAACGTAGTAATGAAAGAGTAATATAAAGAGACCGGCGACTGTCGCAAAACACTTTGAAGTTTCTTCAATAGTCCCATATACGTAACAAATACTTAAATTGTTGCTTGGGTATTCTTGTCCATTTTGACGGTTCCCCAAGGTTTGCCTTTGACGCTACAAAAAACGATTCTAGGCAAAACGATTGTACTTTTCTTTTAAGCACTTTTTTTCGGTATTAATCGGACTATTATTAGCAAAAAAAACTTAAGTTATTAGTAACTTATTAGCAACAAAAACTTACGTTATTCGACGCACAGAATTTATCCATTTTTTTTTGCGCTCGGATTCCCACGTTTTTTTGGGAAACCGGTAAAAACTTAAACCCGGATTTCCTCTTGATAAGCACCCAACAACACAACAAATCGTTCCACGTTTATTTTTCGCGATATTTTCCGCACACATTTTAAAAAACACTTATTTAAAATAAACGCGTTTGACAATTGATTTTCAAATCGGAACTTAAGTTACGATGATGACGGCCGCTAGTTGGCGACACTAGCGATACTTCTTTAGCCTATAACCTAGCAAAACTTATTAATGTTTGACATTTGACACTAGGAATTGTCGGTAAAACAGTGCGCATTAAGATAGTTTATCTTATTGCGCACTGTTTTACCGACAATTTCATTCGAAGGGTCAAATGTCAAACATTAATAAGTTTCGCCAACTCTTTAGAAACTTAGGACTAACTAAGTTATTTTTTTTTAATACTTTTTTAGCGGTTTTTGCAGCTGTTATCCGCTAAAAAATCCGCTATCCGCTAAAACCATATTTTATCCGTCAAGTCTATTTTTTTCCGCCATATTTGACGGGAAAACCGCCGTGTTGGTAACACTTTGTACCACTTTCATTCGGCCATCTTCCAAATTTTTGTGTGACACAAGTTGTGTCTTTGTCTCGCGGCAAGACTCTCGCCACTTGGCGCTGTTGAGCGCGCAATTTGAAAATTAACGTTTGTAAAGCTAAACAGTTATCGCAAAACTTACTTTAAATCAATTTTTAATATATATTATGATTTATTTTCATATGCTTTTGATTTCAATCAATAATTATTTTTTAAGTTAATTTTAGTTAGACATTTTTATGTCTAAAATTAAGTTAAAAAATCAAATAAAGTAATTTTTACGGACTTTTAATAAAAAATCAAAATTGACTCAAAATTATCGCAAAATCAACGCAAACATAACGCAAATATTGAAATAAAATTTTTATAAAAATTTATTGATAATTACTTTTTATAATTTATTTTTATATGCTTTTGATTTAAATCATTTATGTCTAACTAAAAAAAACTTAAAAAATATTAGTAGGTACGTAAATGTGTGATAACATTTAGATACTTATATGTTTATTTTAGGCCGAAATAAGATCGAATCCTAAGGATCATTCTCTCACCCATGAAGAAAATAGAGCAAAAATTTGTCTTATGTGTTTGCAGAAGAAAAAAAAAATGTATACGATATGTGACAAATTAAAAGAAAAAATAGCTAGCGTGACTACACATACAATCCAGTTGAGTAACAATGTGCTATCATCGGCACTTTGCTGCAACTGCAAGATAAAAGTTCATTGTGCCTCAAAAGAGAACAAGATTCTTCTATTGCCAAATTACGAGGGCTTTACTGGAGAAATGATTAAAACTCGATCTTATGATAATTCAAAACCATGTTTATGTAAATTATGCGAGCTGGCTAGAAGCACCTCTAGCTGGAACTTTGGTACAAACTCTCGTCCACGTAAAGAAGCAGGCATTTTAAAAGAAACTCATTGCAAATCTTGTTTTGCCATAGTACGCAAAGGCAGAGAACACAATTGTACTACTACTACAGCTGTGAAAAATATAGAGAATCAAGTAAATCAGTCTTTTACCCAACAGCAAAAAGAACAGCTGCTTTCTAAACTAATAAAGTACAATAAAATACAGTAACAATGAATAATAAATCTCTATCTCAAATTCACGGAAAACCATTACCCATCTCAGTAAAACATAAAAAAGAAAATACTAATCCAATTAAATGTGATGACATTCTAAAAATTAAAACAAAATTCAATTTAAGTTCTAATGTTACTAGTGGAATTGCAAATTCTCTAAGAATAGTGACCAAAAAAAGAAACTTGATATAACCAAATTTAAAAGAAAGATTAGTTTGTGAAAACCATAAGGTAGATAACTTGTTTGACGCTAAGACTATCGATTTTTCAAAATGTAAGAAACTTGACGAATCAGTTGTTCCGGAAACACTGGTTTTCTGCAACAACCTAGAAGCTTTCATAAGATTTGTCGAACAAGAAAGGGAAGTAAAAAATGTTCAGCTTAAATTTGGAATAGACAGCGGTAGAGGTTTCCTGAAAATTTCTTTATCTGTTCTTAATAAAGACAAGCACCTTTCTGCTTAAAATCATCAAAAGCGTGTAAAATATTGCAATAACGTAGATGTACGATTCAAAGACACAGGAGTTAAAAAAATCCTAATTCTAGGTTTATCTCAGGATACAGTTGCTAAACTTTGGACTTTATTAAGGTTAAATGATAATTTTGTTGGCACTATTGCTACTGACCTGAAATTGGCGAATGTGATATTTGGTCTAAGTCGCATTCAAGCTGTAATCCCTGCACATGGTGTTTTTCACACAAAAATAATCTGGAGTCTTCTGCAACTTTAAGAAGCATAGAAAATTCTTTGAAATATTATAATAGCTGGGTTGCATCTGGGTCCAAAAAAGATGAAGCAAAGAATTATATGAACTGTGTGAATCCTCCTCTTCTTGCAGGAGAAGCCCATGACGCTCTATTTTTAGACGTATATCCCCCTCCAGAATTACATTTATTGCTGGGCGTTGTTAATACTCTCGTGAAACATATGATGCTAAATTTCTCAGAGGATGCAGAAAAATGGATTAAAGCTTGTAATGTTCAGAGAGATCTAACTCACAGAGGCCCTTCATTCAAAGACAATTCATGCAACAATCTTCTAAAAAAAATTGATATTTTAAGATCATTATGCTGCATGGGCTGTCTTAAGGTAGTTGTCGTGCTGTAAGCATTCCATCAGAAAATTTTAAATTTTTGTATACATATTAAGGACATGACAATACAATTATCCTTAAAATTTGAAGTCGATTGACCGTCTATAACCCGAGATAAATTCAATTATAAATTGGATAATTAACATGGATTGTATACGCTTTCTGTAGTTCTGTACCAGTTTATTAGTTATACAAAAAAAACTAACTGTCAGAAGCTTTCAAAAAACTAATAGTCCTTTAATATATTTTTGCTGAGTTTAAAAAAAAAATAATTAAAATTTTTTGACCGTCCAATTGTTTATAAATAAACGTTTAAATTTCAACAATTTGTAAAAAGTATACATCACTAGTGTCAGATAAAAACAACTTGGCAACGCTGTACGCGAGTATAGATATTATTTTCGCAGTAAATTCAAACACTGATTCAGTCTCCAATATATCTATTGGTTGAGCATAAGCGACGTTGCCGGATTAAAACTTATGAAAATATTTGAAAGTATTACGTAAAGGTAACGTCTCCAGGGTACAGTCTTGCGAATAAATTATGAATCACTTAGCTACAAGCTCGTATACTTTTACGGTGCGTATAATCAAAAATTTTTTGACAATATTGTACCACGACAACTACCTTAAACATGTACACACATTCACATGTTTTGGAAAAGTTGTCGATTGCTGTTTTGGCGAAAGCCTTGAGCAAGAATATGTAAAAGGTATTTCAGAATTTAAAAGAACGTATATGGCGCTGAATATTCCAGTAACTGCGAAAGTACATGCAGTCTTTTTTCATGTCCAGCAATTTTGTGAAAAAAGAAAATCTGGTTTGGGACTTTATAGTGAGCAAGCTGTGGAATCTCTTCACCATGATTTTGCTCAGATTTGGTCTAAATATAAAGTTGGCAGAAATAATAAACTTTACGCAAACAGACTTTTGAAAGCTGTCCGGGAATATAACAGCAATCACATATAACTAATCTAGTATTAATTTTTATTGTTTTATGGTTTGTTTGTATTTAAACAGTTTGCTTAAATATTAAATATTAGAAAAGTTTACTTTTGCATTTGTATTTTTGTTACATCTAACAAAGAACCCATATTATTCCCAATAGTTTGCTTATATGTTCACCTTTTTGGATTTTTATTAAAAACGGCTTTAAGGATTATTTAATTTTTTTGTTTACTATTTAGTTTAGGCCTATAAAACATATTAAAGCAAGAAAAAGGTTAGGTGCTCGAATTTTGATTTAAAAGTGGTTCAGGCGTACCGTGAGCAACTTCGTAAGCAATACGCAATTATTTACCGAGGTAATTCCGAAAACTTCCATTAATAGTGACCGTGTTTTGTTTGTGTTTTAGTTTGTTTCGTGCCATTTGCATTTATTAAAATGCGGTGTGGCTTATTTGGATGCAAAAAAAACCCTTTAAATAAAAACACGGGCTGGATGCTCCCGTGGACGAGTTTTGGTTCGTGCCGCGCATGACGTCACTTGATGAGTAGTTGCCGTGCGAATACACGAATAATAGTAATATTATCAAATAAAATAGAGAAATATGGACATACTGCGTTTTTATTAAACTTAATATTAAAGAAAGTGTTATAATATGGATAATAGATTCTTTCAGTCCTTGATAACATTTAGGAGTGTAGTTTAAGAGTTGGTGTTTTAAATTAAACTTTCCAGAAAATGTTTAGAGGAAATAGAAGCGGTCTTACACTGTTTAAAATATCTACGGTCTAAAGAGTAATCCTAAAATGGTGTCAAAATCCAACACCAAGTGGTGTTAATATAACACCATGAATTAGGGTTGAAAATGAACACCAAAACGGTGTTTATCTAAAAATATTTGAGAAGTGCACCTACCCAGAAAAAAAGGAATAGTTCATTTAACCCAGTTGACCCATAAGTATTTATATTTTTGTGGATCACGTGATGTTCTTAAATCTCGCCTCTGTTGACTTACATGAAGAATATATAAACTAGTCCTTTGCTTTGGTGTGACACTACAAGTTGTTCGATACTAAAGAGACCTTAAATAGGTGGAAACAGCTGTCAATACTTGAAGTATTTTAAGTTAGTGGAACGCACTAAAAACATTATCTCTAGCGAGTTGAAGGTTTCATTTTCTGGAATAATACCACTGGTAATATACTAGTAATGCGTCAAGGAACTTCCTGTTTCCTTTTTTTTTTCCTTTTTTCTGTGTAGTATGTTAATTTGACCACAAACACATAATACTTAACACTGAAAAGGAGTTCAATTTACACCAGGTAAAATTTATTTTAATACTGTGTGAAAGTTAAATTAACACCATTTTAGTATTTGAATTTACACCGCCAACGAACCTTATTTAACACCATTTTAGTATTTGAATTG